AATAAGAAATAATAATTAAATTATTAAATAAAATAAAAAGGTGATTAAAAAGTAAAAACTAATAAGAAAAAAATTATTGAAAAATAAGAAAATTATAAAGAAAAATAAACTATAAGATAAAAAATTATTATTAAAAAAAGAAAAATTAAAAAAAGTGATAAAAAAGTAAAAAAATAAAATAAAGAAACAATAAAAAAATAAAACTAACTCTGCTGCCCCTGCCATCCGGTTGCCATTCTCCATTGATGGGGGGGGGCGCATTGCAGAACCTGGCCTTGGGGCGGCAGGGGGGGTACAGGGCCGGATTTACTCTCTCCGCTGCCCCAAGGCCAGGTTCCTGAACGCGCTCCCCTACCCGCCAACCCACCACCCCCCACCATGGAGAATGGCGGATCTGCAGGCTGCATACAAGTGATCTTGGCGACATCGCTGACATCACTTGTACAAAATAAGCGGCGCCTTACCCGCTCTACATTTAGCCCTGCTTGCCCAAAGCCGGGCTAAATGTAGAAAACAACTACCCAGCACCTGGAACTGCATGTCCCCGGCATCGGGAGATAGGAATTCCACACCCCTGCTGCCCCTCTGCTCCCAGCTGCCCCAAGGCTTGGGCCTTGTGAGAAATCCGGCCCTGAGTATATGCCCAGAATTGTGTGGACCATCACACCTATGTGAGCTTATTGGGTATCTTAATCTAAAACCATGGCCATTAATATGGAGTAGTTTCCCTTTTTGTAGCTATAACAACCTCCATTCTTCTTAGAAGGCTTTTCCCCTCAGGGTTAAAGATACCTTTTACTCTTCAAAATCTTCCCAAGTCTGAAGTTTTTACCCTTTCAGCAAACCCTTTGTAAGAATTCCCAGACAAAGCCTTGATCATTCTAAAGGTCGGTGTCACTAAAAACTGATATTTCAGATTCTTCAGCTTGGCTAACAAAAGATCACTGAAATGTCTTTTTACAACTCCAAACCGTGGTACCTACATATGCACATGCGTCGCTATGGAACTGAGACACCTATTCTTGTAATCAGATAAGACAGGTTCTCTTAGTAGCTAGTAAGACTGAGTGCCAGTGACATTTGTCTTGTATTGTGCACTTTATAAAGTGTCATCGCTTACAGACGTCGCCACACCAATGGAGAAGGTTATCTGCCCTCTTCAGGGCCCGACTTTCATCCTTGCCCTCTCAAGGCACATATTCCTTGGTGCCCAAAGCCACATCTTCCCCACAGCCAATCACTATCCAGATCCTGCCGCCTTCACCTTCGTAACATCTCCAAAATACGCCCCTTCCTCACCAAAGACACCGCAGAGCTACTCATCCACTCCCTTGTTATATCTCGTCTTGACTATTGCAACTCCCTCCTCATTGGCCTTTCACTACACAGGCTCCTCCCCCTTCAGTCTATCATGAATGCAGCTGCTATACTCATTCACCTAACCAACCGCTCAGTGTCTGCATCCCCCCTCTGCCGATCCCTGCACTGAATTCCATCCCCCACCCCTTCTCTGCCAATCCCTGCAGCTGCTTCCATCCCCGCCCCCCTCTGCCAATCCCTGCACTGGCTTCCATCCTCCGCCCCCCTCTGCCGCTCCCTGCACTGACTTAACAATCACTTACAAAGCCATCCACAACTCTGCCCCCATCTATATCTCCAAACTTGTCTCCAAGTATTACCCTAACCGTCCGCTCCGCTCTTCCCAAGACTTCCTGCTTTCTAGCTTCCTTGTCAACTCCTCCCATGCTCGCCTCCAGGACTCCACTAGTCTCTCCCATCCTCTGGAACTCTCTACCCCAACCTGTCCGTCTATCTCCCGCACTGACTGCCTTTAGGCGATCCCTTATGACTCATCTCTTCAGGGAAGCCGATCCCACCTCAACCTGACCGCTCAACCATCACGTTCTCAGACAATTCATCCCCACACAGCTCCCTCCTCATGTATCACTGGCCCCTCCCCTTTTAGATTGTAAGCCCTCAGGGGCGGGGCCCTCCTTACCATCTTGTCTTGAATTGTATTGTGACTGTAATGTCTTCCTTATATCGTAAAGCGCTGCGCAAACTGTTGGCGCTATATAAATCCTGTATACTGATAATAATATAATAATCCCTCTAATCAGGTCATTCCTTTTATACAGAACCAGGAATAGGATATGTTGAGAGTTTGTATTGTAAATAAAGTTACGTGAGATGATTGAATTGCTGCTCATCATAGGAAAAAATGTGTTGCCAAAATCTACATGGGAAAAAAAAACACATTTTTAGCTACTGTGTGCAACCTATAGTCAGAACTCTACTGTGCGTAAAGAAATATCTGCCCCTGTAAATAAACATTGTAAAAAGAAAGGAGGATGGAAACTGTCATGGATAGGGGCCTGTATCCACTGAGAAAAGGGTGGTACAGGTGATTGCAGTAGTGTATCTGAGGGCAGAGAGGAAGCAGAGGGTACTGATCATGGAGCAAAGTAGGCAAGACAACTGCAGAGCATGCCAGAGACTGCGCAGGAACACAGGTGAAGGTTGCTCTAGGAGATGCACTGGGGTTATGGGGCACAAAGGGGCACGCTGGAGTTGCTATATGACACTGGATGCTCTGGGGTGCACTGGAGTCATGAAATGCAAAGTGACCTACTGGCCTCACTAGGTGACAGAGGATGCTCTGAGGTACACTGGAGTCAGGGGTATAGTGGACACGGACAACTGACAGGGCCACGGTAGACCACACTGGGAGCTGACAGGAAGGCACGGAAGAGGTGCCAGAACTCTGAAGCACCATGGGATTTTGGAGGCTTGGAGGAGTCAGCAGGACTTTGGAGCACCATGGGACTTAAGTGGCCCAGAGAAGACAACAGGACTGTAACCGAAAACCAGGAGTCCGGAACTCCATAAGATTCAAGTGGAACATACAGGGCCGGATTTACTCTCTGTGCTGGCCCAAGGCCAGGTTCCTCAATGCGCCCCCCTACCCGCCAACCCCCCCATGGAGAATGGCAGACCTGCAGGCTGTATACAAGTGAACTTGGTGACATCGTCAAGATAACTTGTACAAAACAAGCAGTGGCTTCCCCGCTGTACATTTAGCTCTGCTTGCCCAAAGCAGGGCTAAATGTAGAAAACAACTACCTGCCCGGTGCCCGGAACTGCATGTCCTCGGTATCGGGAGATAGGAATTCCACACCCCTGCTGCCCCTCTACTCCCTGCTGCCCCAAGGCCGGCCTTGGTTGGCCTTGTGGGAAATCAAGCCCTGGGCACATAGAAGACACCAGGACTCTGGAGCATAAAGACTCTGGAGCACCATGGAATGCAGGAGGCACAGAGGTGACACAAGGACTCTGGAGCATGATGGGGCTCAAGGGGCTTAAGAGGTACAGAGAAGACTGAAGATGCAAATAAGAAGACAATGGGGCCCAGGAAAGCAGGTCAGCCATAGTGACATGCTGCTTGACCACTGAGCCACGCGTGGTTTCGCAATTTAACGATCTACCAATCAGTAGTACAGCCATCTCCTGATTGACTACAATGCTGGTGCTCTGGGCAAAACCTGGAAGAGCCGGTGACTACGCGCCATAGGGTTAACCCAGTGCTGGATCTCAGGAGAGGTAAGTGGAAACAAAACTAACAGGAAAAATGAAGCACGCACCTCTGACCACATGATGTGTGAACCTTTTCTTGACCCTTTCCAGCTACGCCAGCACTTACATACATTTTTGACAAGTACAGTAACTCTTTCACTGGTTCCTCAACGTAGACAGTCATAAAATGGCACCGCAGCTTATAGAGTAGCGACAGCTTCCTACGGTACCTCATAGAACAAGGGATCCCTGTCGTCTATCAATCCAAATTTTCCAATTTACCGATAACGGTGACACATTTTGCACTCCGTGGAATGACAGTGGAGACAGGTTATCCTGGATAGGTGAGCGTGTGGGAGGACTCACCATCTATACAGTCTGAGGGTTGTATTAGTCACGATTATTATGGATATATTATTATATATAACAAGAATTTGTTTCCTGAGGCTACAACCGGGGGGAAACGCTCGAGTGGCCCTCGGGGCCAGTTCTGAAAGGCTCACAGAGAGCGACTCATTATGTACTGAAATGCCAGACAGGGAGGTCTCCTGGGAGTTGTTAGTAATAATATTATTAGCACATAAACTACACAGGGATGGAGGATATGACTGCACAAATCATGGTGGTATAGAATCACTGGGGAAATACTGGGAAAAATAATATTTTTACAAGAGAGGGATCGCTGGATAGAAGAACCCACTTGAAAAATCACAGAGCACAAAATGTAATGCATTTCATGTAAAACACATTGTTTAAACTGGACTCATCATCAGGTATATTTCTCTATGCAAAGTGCTTAGCTATGTGAGAGCATAACACTCCCAGGTATTTATTACATCTCATAGAGATCACAGCACTCCCCTCTGACAATGTCATCCTAACTAAGGTCACTGGCAGTGGCAAGTTTTCTAAAAAAGCTTTCTGCTGCTTTACATTGTGACAACAAGAACTAATAAAAATGGAAAAACAGCTAAAACAGATGAATGAAACAGAAAATACAAAAGTAATCTCCCTCTGATCAATGTTTATAAACAATGTTACTTTGTATCTCTCTATCTCCCTCTGATCAATGTGTATAAACAATGTTACTTTGTATCTCTCTATCTCCCTCTGATCAATGTGTATAAACAATGTTACTTTGTATCTCTCTATCTCCCTCTGATCAATGTGTATAAACAATGTTACTTTGTATCTCTCTATCTCCCTCTGATCAATGTGTATAAACAATGTTACTTTGTATCTCTCTATCTCCCTCTGATCAATGTGTATAAACAATGTTACTTTGTATCTCTCTATCTCCCTCTGATCAATGTGTATAAACAATGTTACTTTGTATCTCTCTATCTCCCTCTGATCAATGTGTATAAACAATGTTACTTTGTATCTCTCTATCTCCCTCTGATCAATGTGTATAAACAATGTTACTTTGTATCTCTCTATCTCCCTCTGATCAATGTGTATAAACAATGTTACTTTGTATCTCTCTATCTCCCTCTGATCAATGTGTATAAACAATGTTACTTTGTATCTCTCTATCTCCCTCTGATCAATGTGTATAAACAATGTTACTTTGTATCTCTCTATCTCCCTCTGATCAATGTGTATAAACAATGTTACTTTGTATCTCTCTATCTCCCTCTGATCAATGTGTATAAACAATGTTACTTTGTATCTCTCTATCTCCCTCTGATCAATGTGTATAAACAATGTTACTTTGTATCTCTCTATCTCCCTCTGATCAATGTGTATAAACAATGTTACTTTGTATCTCTCTATCTCCCTCTGATCAATGTGTATAAACAATGTTACTTTGTATCTCTCTATCTCCCTCTGATCAATGTGTATAAACAATGTTACTTTGTATCTCTCTATCTCCCTCTGATCAATGTGTATAAACAATGTTACTTTGTATCTCTCTATCTCCCTCTGATCAATGTGTATAAACAATGTTACTTTGTATCTCTCTATCTCCCTCTGATCAATGTGTATAAACAATGTTACTTTGTATCTCTCTATCTCCCTCTGATCAATGTGTATAAACAATGTTACTTTGTATCTCTCTATCTCCCTCTGATCAATGTGTATAAACAATGTTACTTTGTATCTCTCTATCTCCCTCTGATCAATGTGTATAAACAATGTTACTTTGTATCTCTCTATCTCCCTCTGATCAATGTGTATAAACAATGTTACTTTGTATCTCTCTATCTCCCTCTGATCAATGTGTATAAACAATGTTACTTTGTATCTCTCTATCTCCCTCTGATCAATGTTTATAAACAATGTTACTTTGTATCTCTCAATCTCCGTCTGAACAATGTTTATAAACACTTTGTGCGATGGTTTGTTTTTGCAGCAGCTGTAAGGAATGATGTATTTACAAATGAATTCCTGGCGGTCATTTTGACAGTCGAAAATTGTTGGAAAGTGTGAGGGCATACAATACACGTCTTGAGTACTTCCATTACGTTTTTTGGGGTGTTTTTAGCACATTCAATGTCCACAACTGGTAAAAAAAAATAAAAACCTCACAGGACAGGGGTTCTAATCCTTTCCATCTCTATTAAAAAGCATAGAAAAAGTACAGGCAGCCAGTACAAGGCAAATGTTAGGCAGCCTCCTCAAAATGAGTGTGCCATACTCAGCATAAGCTATACAGCAAAAAGTTATTGCTTTTTGAATGAATATTGATATGAAGGATATTCTTACCTGGGCACTTCTTTTCATTGCATGGCTTGTTTTCCTCTGATGGGCCGGGACAGTCTTGCCCACCAAAAAATGGGCCATAGCAGGTACGATCCCTGTTCTGCATCCCTCCATTGCATGTTGTACTGCAGCTTCCCCAGGATCCCCACTCCTGCCATTTCCCATCAACTACAAGAAAAACAAACAGAATATATTTATGGAGCTTAATGAGGATCAATCTTGTTTATTCCTAGGCTAGAAGGATCCGTTGACAATGGCATGTCAGTGTGTCATTGTTCTTGAACCCCAGTTATTAGTGTGCTATTGTTTTGGGACCCCTGAGTGTCAGTGTTTCATTGTTCTGGACCCCCAAGTGTCAGCGTGTCATTGTTCTGGACCCCCAAGTGTTAGTATGTTATTGTTCTGGACCCCCAAGCCTCAGTGTGTCATTGTTCTGGACCCCCAAGTGTCAGTGTATCATTGTTCTGGACCCCCAAGTGTCAGTGTGTCATTGTTCTGGGACCCCAATGTCAGTGTGTCATTGTCCTGGACCCCAATGTCAGTGTGTAATTGTTCTGGGACCCCTAATTGTCAGTGTGTCATTGTTCTGGTTCCCCAAGTGTCAGTGTGTCCATTTTTTGAGACCCCAAGTGTCAGTGTGTCATTGTTTTGGGACCCCCAAGTGTCAGTGTGTCATTGTTCTGGGACCCCCAAGTGTCAGTGTGTCATTGTTCTGGGACCCCCAAGTGTCAGTGTGTCATTGTTCTGGGACCCCCAAGTGTCAGTGTGTCATTGTTCTTGGACCCCCAAGTGTCAGTGTTTCATTGTTCTGGACCCCCAAGTGTCAGCGTGTCATTGTTCTGGACCCCCAAGTGTTAGTATGTTATTGTTCTGGACCCCCAAGCCTCAGTGTGTCATTGTTCTGGACCCCCAAGTGTCAGTGTATCATTGTTCTGGACCCCCAAGTGTCAGTGTGTCATTGTTCTGGGACCCCAATGTCAGTGTGTCATTGTCCTGGACCCCAATGTCAGTGTGTAATTGTTCTGGGACCCCTAATTGTCAGTGTGTCATTGTTCTGGTTCCCCAAGTGTCAGTGTGTCCATTTTTTGAGACCCCAAGTGTCAGTGTGTCATTGTTTTGGGACCCCCAAGTGTCAGTGTGTCATTGTTCTGGACCCCCAAGTGTCAGTGTGTCATTGTTCTGGACCCCCAAGTGTCAGTGTGTCATTGTTCTGGACCCCCAAGTGTCAGTGTGTCATTGTTCTGGACCCCCAAGTGTCAGTGTGTCATTGTTCTGGACCCCCAAGTGTCAGTGTGTCATTGTTCTGGACCCCCAAGTGTCAGTGTGTCATTGTTCTGGACCCCCAAGTGTCAGTGTGTCATTGTTTTGTGACCCCCAAGTGTCAGAGTGTCATTGTTCTGAGACCCCCAAGTGTCAGTGTGTTGATGTTCTGAGACCCCCAAGTGTCAGTGTGTCATTGTTCTGAGACCCCCCTAGTGTCAGTGTGTCATTCTTCTGACACCCCCAAGTGTCAGTGTGTCATTGTTCTGAGACCCCCCAAGTGTCATTATTGTACCGAGTGCCAATATGTCACAGTTCCGGGATCCCAGGTGTCAAGGTGTCCTTGTTTTTGTCTTTCAAATGTCAAGTTTGTCTAAAAATTTGATTTAAAGGCTCTCAAGATGCAAAGTAACTAATAGTTGTCTGTCTCCCTCACCAGGACACTGCATTGTGAAGCAGTCCCTCATGTCTGACCACTGGCCGTGACACTCCGAGCCCCCGTAGGATGGTCCGTTACACTCGCGGATTCTCTTCTGAGTCCCATTGGAGCAAGTGTTAGAGCAGGCACTCCAGCTGGACCAGTCGTTCCAGTTACCATCAACTGCAGGACAAGGTATAAAGAGATTGATGAAGAGGTTATACTTCACATGCAACCAAATGGAACTGAATACTACGAGACAAATGGAAACATGAGAGAGAGAACTCTGAGATCAATGAGGGAAGGAGGAAGATACAGAGAGATATATGGAGAAAGAATAAAACGGATCGATCAGCAGAAACATAACAACTCACTGAAGAGTTTATTCATTGAAATCTATTCCAAATTAAGGAAAATCCGGCTAATTTGACACATTTTACATTTAAAAAAAATAACTTTTCATCTTCTTTGAACACAATTGGATACATTTTCATGGACATAATTAAACACAATTTCAATGTATCAAAAATGTTGATTAGATTTGTTGAATTCGACTGACTCACTCTTCATGTTTATGACCTATTGCCCATGACATGAGGTCTGTATTCTCATGCTTCATTTATATATATATATACATGTGAAACTCGAATAATTAGAATATCGTGCAAAAGTAATTGCAGTAAGTGCTGCAAAAGGAGCCCAAACCAAGTACTGAGTACATATGCATGCTGGTACTTCTCAGAGGTCCGATATTGTTCTATGTACAATCCGTGTTTTATTGATTGCATGTAATATTCTCATTTTTTGAGGTTGTGGATTTGGGGTTTCCATGAGCTGTAAGCCATAATCATCACAATGATGACAAATCACGGCTTGAACTATCTTGCTTTGCATGTAATGAGTCTCTCTCATATATTAGTTTCACCTTTTAAGTTGTATTAGTGAAATAAATGAACTTTGCACCATATTCTAATTATTCCAGTTTCACCTGTATATATATATACATACAGTATATCAGGCCTCAAAATTTCCACTCGCCCCCTCGCAATTGGCGAGTGAAAATTGCGTGGGTGAGCCACGGGCGGGACCAGGGATGGGACACTACCGCCTCGGCGATTGCTCGCTTCTCTTCTCTCTTCTCCTCCTCAGCTGCTGCAGCTACACAGCGGCTGCGGAGGAGAAGAGAGAACAGAAGCGAGCAATCGCCGCGGCGGTAGTGTCCCATCCCTGGTCCCGCCGACGGCGCA